AAGGAATCTCATGACTCGGGAATGAGAAAGTGGCTCAAGCTTTTCATGAAATGGGTATAGATAGCCATGCAGGCGGAAAAGTCGTGGCTCCTTTCGAGTCAAAAATGGGTCGAAAGTCTTGACTTATTCATAAAGTGTGAAATGGTGCCGAAAGAAATCGAATTGGGCCCCAACCCATTCAGAGGGCTTGTAAACACCGTCAAATGAGTTATTTAGGCACCAAATTCACCTTTGGCTAGAAATCCCTCTAAGCAACTACGACTGGGAACTAAACTGAGACAATAAGAGAATTTACCTCTGATAAAGCAAAAACAGGGGCACACAAACGACTGCAGTAGTCTAAATGAGGTCCCTACCAAGTTATGCTGCGCTGAAGTTCTAGTAGTACTGCTGGTGTTTAGGTGAAAAAGAACTGGATAGATTTGAAAGGAAGCTAAAATGATCCCCGTTCACACAACGAGAATGTCGTCCAGACAAAAACCCCTGCCCTCGACTACTTGTAACTTCACTGCTCCAATTAAACCCCTGCAACACTCAGCATTTCTGATAAGCATGATAATCAGAATGCTAACATGGGTCAACCAGCACAAGGGCATACTGGTGCAGTGGTGAGTTGGAACCGCTACCGGTCCGGAAAATTAAATGTTCAGCTCCCGTTCCGGGATCACTAAGCCTTCCGTTCCTTTGCAGTCGGTTAGCTGGCACGGAACTCATCTACTGGATTAACTGATCATCGCAAGTCGCACAGCTCAGTATCACTCAAAATGCCACCAAAATATGTACTGAATGGGAGCGAAGTGCGTGGCGCACAGGGATTCATTGATGCCAAACGAGTTATTCTTTGACTCTCAAATCAGTACAACTCAAGTTGTGAAGGACGAAGAAGAACAGAAGGGGTAAAATCAACTGAAGATTCAGCACTAGCTAGGTGAAGCTAAGCTGAAGCTGGGAGAACTAAATGAAGCTCACATTCTATCTGCATACTTTTACAGTACGCATTCTTACTAATCTGCATACCTTTTTAGCAGTATCGAGATTTTCACCTACGCTGACAGAAATATACCACCCATTGCTGATTGTTTACAATCTTGGCAACTCCTAAGTAATTACTAGCTGCCATGATGCTGTTGGCAACTTTTCTTGTCGTGCCGCCTGATGATGTTTGATGCATCGTACCCTTGGGAGAAGACTATCCATCAACCAATATCTCAGCAGACCGTTTACCAATATTTGAAGCATTATTCAAATTTATGTCGATGGTATGTTCAGGCCTGTTTGAGCAGGCGTATCCCTGTTGGGAAGTTCACTCTGGTAGAATTGTAGAGAAGCTCTTAGCCTGGTCACAGAGAGTTTAAGGACCTAATTTTTCACGAGGAAAACTTCCGGGATATTGAACACTCCTAAGCTAGGCGTTGGCGACAGAGTTGTCGAGAAAAAAGACAACGTCAGCCGGCGCGGAAGTGGCGCACGACTTTTGGAACAGTTTGGCGACGGGGCTGGGGGCATTTTGCACTTTTGCTACTTCCAGTCGAACGTGTCGATCCACCTAGAGGGCTACTGTATGAGCATACAAGGGTTGACAGGTTTTTACCATGGTGACTGTCGATCGAGGTTGCTCAGCTTCAGGAGTTTGAGAGGTTTTAGCCAGGACTGGTAGTTGTTAAAACCGGAAGCTAGTGATGGACCAGTGAATGGGAAGGTGCAAAATGCCCACTCGTCGCCTTGCCCTACTTTGCTATACTTTTAGCCCTCAACGCCCTCTTCCCAGACACCCGACACACCCTAAGCGAAAGGACATGGACGGTACTCCCAGGTGTTCGCATCCACCAGATGTTCAATAATCTCCCTTTTATTAAGATTCTCTGACTGTATTTGACGAGGCTTGACCCTTTCCATGAATTCTCTCGTATAAGCCCCCACCATCAAATCCTATCGGCTGGGTGGGGTGAGAGTAAATGATTATCCCATCAACTATTAGAGTGTTTGTATAGATTAGCAGGTGTAACGGAGATTACTAGTGTATAGTAGCATCAAAAAAAAAATAGAATATCGATAACATCTGAGGCTCTTATTGATATGAGTTTTGATCTCAATCGATAAATTTGGGGGGGGGTCTTCTTCGACGAAGTAGTTCAGTATTTGTTTCGCGCCCTTAGACGGAAACTGAACAGGATATTGTATCCTCCCTCTTGCCCAAGCCTAATAAATCCAGGATCGACAACTAAAATTCTTCATCCATTTCTAAATGCGACCCCCTCCCTTCCCCGATGTGGATTTCACTGCGATGGTTTCACTGATTTCACCACCATTTTCGATTGAATCACCGTGTGAAACAAGACTATATTTGACCCATATGTGCCAAAAGATAGTCGAGGAAGGCTCCAGTGACCCACTCGAAAGAGCATGGAATCGGGACAATCGACTTTTGATGCGTCCAGTTTAGTTAGTAAATTTTTTCCTCTTATAAGGAGAGCTGTGTGAGATTATGAAATCCCGATAGGGTTCGTAATTCAATTCGCTGCTTTGACTGCTACGGTGCTTCAAAGAGTGGCATATATTGGACACCTGGGCAGCGCACCTGCGTACTCAAATCGAAAATGATCACCACAGCCGCACACCACAGCCGTCGCCTCGTCAAATACACACATAGAGAATCTCAATAACAAAGAGATTACTGAACATCTGTGTGAGTGCGGAAACCTGGGAATGGCACCCATATCCCATTAGGCTGAGGATAGTCGCGGTGTGCGGGAAAAGGACGACATTAAGGTTAAAAAGGAAACCGAAAGTCATGTGAGTCATTTCCGCTGCCGGCTGGCGTTGTGTCTTTTCTCTCGACAACACCTGTCGCCAACGCCCCAACTTAGGAATGTCAGAAATTCACTTTCTTCTGAGGCTATCCATCAAAGAACTTCCTCCGCATATCTACCAGGTGAACGTGACAGCACTTGAAGAACTGAATAAGCCGGGAACACCAGTGGCACTACAGCTCTTTATGTCCTCAACCTCTACTAAGTTTTAAATTGCTTAGTGGCTTACAAGGGATCACATAACGTTATTAGCTCCTTTGAGCAGACTGAGTTATTTTGTAATAGCTAAGATTACTTTGAAAGAAAAATAAACCCCAGGAGACACACAGGATGCGCTTTTTAGCAACCCGGTTCTTCCCTGGGAAAAAACTTCACAGGAAAGCAAAAACTAAGGGTAGAACTTCGGCTAAGGTTTTGTTCCACGTATAGGTCTTGGGGTTATTACTGAGTTTACAATGCAAAGAATTCCAAGGAACTCAAAATGCTCTTGCAAAGAATTCCAAGGAACTCAAAATGCTCTCACGGTAAGGTAGTTTGGGTGTCGACTCGAATACCTCTGTACCAGTGGTAACGCACTACTGATAACTTTTCGAAATAGTGACTCGTGGAAATGAGAATAATTTCAGAAAAATCAAAATCTCGTTGCAGATCTTAACCTTTCCTGAGCCCTTGCGGATGTTTAAGTCGAGCAGTGAAAGGCGGTACCAGTCCTGTAAGCGCCAATTTCATCGGGACTGAATCTCGCCTGATAAGCCTTTCATCTCTCAGGAGTCGACTAAGTGCTACTATAATGGCCCTTGGGTAAAAACACTTGTGTATCAGCGAGTCTCATTTCATAAATCTGCTAATTTGAATGTTCAGGAACAACGGGAAACTCTTTTCCAGATAGATTAAGAACCTATTTATCCCATTTTCCTTGAACCTATTGATTAGATATTTCAACCTCAGCGAGGCCCATGGAGAATAGTTTTTCACAAACTATTCGCCTCTCACCTGTGTTTTACCTTTAGGTACCATTAGTCCGCGCGACAGCAAAATACCTCGGCAAGACCAGCTCGGTCATTTCTAGATAGTTCCTCAGTCAGCTCTATGTCATGCCAACGCTCCCAGTGTTCGAAATTTCACCACGACTTTTCCTAAACAGATGTGCGAACTGAACTTTTTATCAGGCTACTCAAACAACTTGGGTGAAACCTAGAAGAATTCTTCGATGGTTCGGCCTTCACACGACCTTAAGCCGTAATGTTTTTCCTTGTCTCGTTGAGAAGATCGGAATGTCTGCAGTGTGCATTGGCAGCTGACCATCGTCGATCGGTCTCTATTGTCCTCGCGGATTTCTGCTCGTTGTCTGCGCGCATGCGGTCCTTCCAGACGGGGTCTGCGCACCTGTGCATTGGGGCGGAGCGAAAGTGGAGGGCGTGACCGGCGCCGTTGCCTCATAGCTCGTGTCATTCGGAATTCAGCCGATCTACCAGAACACTCGTCGTTCTACTCATCATCACAAATTCATCCCTACTCATATTTTACTACAATATGAAGGCCATGCACAGGGAAACCCGTCCAACTGCCACCGTGTCCTCTACTGGCAGAATACGCAAATCTTCGGCGGAACGCAAAGAAAAGCTTAAAGTGAGTTCGACACCAGTTCAGCTATTTTGTGGTCATGTGTAACCTAAGAGGTTCTGCGTTAGTAGCCCAGTGATTCCTATGTTCGTTACTCTAGTAACCTTACAAAGTAGTTCTTTGTCTGAACCCTTCAGAAGGGCACCTTAACCTTGCAAAGCAATCTTCTTTTCTAATTGTTAGAGTAGTGTTAGATATTTCTTACCACATCAAATGCCTTTTCCCAAAAGGCAATAACTTAGATTCTGCGCTCAGTCTGCATTTATTTACCTGAAATGCACAAAAAGTTACTGGCAAATTTACTGCATGACCCGCGACATCCATTTACTAGGCTGTCCAAATATTATCGATTTTCACATAATATTCAAAAACATCATTATTTAATTCAGATGGTCGAAAGCACCCATCCCGCCGCCTGGTTGGTTCCGACGAAGGCAGCTCACAACTCGAACTCGTGCTCTCTGCAATCCGATATATCCGAGAGTTGCAATCTCAACTCGAGAATGACAAGGAGAACGATCTCCCGGATCCTCTACAAGATTCCCTCCAGGATCTGTTCGCCCAATGTTCTGTGGGGAAAACGGCTACTGCTTGAGCGATTCAGCTTTTGTTGAATAGTACATCTCGTGTGATACTCGTGCCCTACGTGCCCGTAGGCTATAGGCACCTCTCCCTGACACAGCATATTCGGGTATTCGCTTGACATTCACCAGATGTCAGCGTTCGTTTTCTTGTTCAGTGCACTGCTATAGTTGCTATATGCTGACTTGTATATACAATAGACTACGAAAGAGCAATAAATGTATGGATTTGAGCTTTTCTTTTTGGTGACTGATGGCTTTCGGATATGTCATCTACGAGTAGAGGGGACAAAAAAATCGGTTTGTGGTGGTATTGAAGAAAAAAAATCCGTAGGAGAAAGGTTCCACATATAAAATAAATAAAAGGCGTCCAACAAGTGAAGGTCGAAGGTACAGTATCGGTGAGCTGCCCAATGAGCAACGAATATTTCCTGGTGAGGCCGCTCATCCTACGGTCTTCAAGGCTATTAAAGCTGTTGGAGAACTTCCTAGTATCACTTAGTCACTGTATAGTAGCGCAGGATGAAGGGCAGAATAAATAGGATCGATTATAAGCACCCCTTATTGAGATATGTCACGATTGGGACTTCAGTGAGAGTTACGCTCCCCTTTCGTCCATATTTGGCATATGCCTCACCTGGCCTAGTTGCACGTAGAAATTGTTGCCCTC